TCTTTTTTGGAGCATCTCTCTGTGCTCTAAAGAAAAAGGATGGAGGGATCAGGCCAATAGCTGTGGGCAATTCTCTCCGGCGTCTCGTCGCAAAGGCAGCTGCAAGAACAGTTAGTGATGCAGCGGCCAACATGCTGAAGCCAAAACAGCTCGGGTTCGGCATTCCACAAGGGTGTGAGGCGGCAGCCCATGCAGCTCGAGCCTTCATCGCCAACATCACAGACGAAAAGGCCCTTATCAAGCTAGATTTCAAAAATGCCTTCAATTTGGTGCGGAGGGATGCTGTACTCCGTGCGGTTCATAGTCATTTCCCTTCCCTCTACCCTTTTGTACATTCATGCTACAGTATGGATCTTAAGCTACTTTTTGGCGAACATGAAATTGACTCGCGAGAAGGCGTCCAACAGGGTGACCCCCTTGCTCCTCTCCTTTTCTGCTTAGTCATCAAACAAGTCACAGAGGTCCTGTCCAGCGAGCTTAACATCTGGTTCTTGGATGATGGTACCCTAGCTGGTTCCCAAGACTCCCTCCTGGAGGACATCAGAAAAATCCAGGAGCAAGGTGCAGTTTTAGGCCTCATCCTGAACCCTTCTAAATGTGAAATAATATGTTCCAACCAGGGCATCGTAGAGAGAATAGAGGGTCTTCTGCCAAATATCCATAAAACTAAACCTGAAGACAGCACACTCCTAGGAGCTCCCCTGGGGTTGAAAGCCATCGATGAGGTCCTTGATAAGAAAATCGCCGACCTTAAGAGGATGGATGGGAGGATTGAGGATATTGATGCTCATGATGCACTCTACCTCATCACCAGATGTCTGTCCCTCCCCAGGTTAACCTACTTTCTGAGGTGTTCACCATCTTACAGCAGCCAAAAACTAAGTGAGTATGACCGGTTACTGAAATCAATGCTAGAAAAAGCCCTTAACCTCTCTCTTGATGACCTACAGTGGAAACAAGCCTCTCTTCCCGTAAGACTTGGGGGCCTCGGAGTTCGAACAGCAACGCAAATCGCTGTTCCAGCCTTCCTGTCCTCCTTATCAGCATCCGACGACCTTGTGAAGGAAATTCTACCTGCCCACTTACATCAGCTGGCAGGTGTACATGATCCCAATTTTACACGCTGTGCCACAGAGTGGGCCTCTCGTGCAGGCTCATCACCTCAACCACCATCCCCAAAAGCCCACAAGCAATCCAGCTGGGATGGCCCCATTGTAGACCAAGTTGCTGCAGAGTGCCTGGGTGCTGCAACAACACAACACGACATTGCTCGCCTCACAGCAGTAGCAGCCCCACATGCAGGGGATTTCCTGTTAGCAACCCCAATGTCGGCAACTGGCACGCGTCTCACACCACACGCCCTCCGAATTGCTGTGGCCCTTCGCCTTGCTGCCCCAATCCACACCAGATATAGGTGTATTTGCGGCGAGGTGGTGGCTGACAGGTACGGCCACCATGGCCTACTCTGCCAAAGCACAGGGGGATGGCACTCGAGGCACAGTGAAGTTAACGACATCATCAAGAGGAGCCTCACCACAGCTGGATGCCCAGCTGAAAGAGAGCCCCGTTACCTAACGCCCCGTAACTCTGATGCTCTTATTGGTCGCCCGGATGGTATCACAGTGAACCCCTGGAAGAATGGCAAGCAGTTGGTATGGGACTACACGTGCGTATCAACCCTGGCTAACACCTACATTAACCTCAGTGTTGCACAACCAGGTGGCGCTGCCACCCACAGGGAAGCAGCCAAATCCCGTAAGTATAGAGAACTGGATCACCACTACAATTTTGTCCCCATTGCTTCTGAGACACTCGGCGCCTGGGGTAAAAGTGCTACCAGTTTTTTGAAGGAACTGGGTTCTAGGCTCATTGAAACAACAAGGGACCCTAGAGCTGCCAGCTTTCTTTTCCAGCGCCTCAGCGTGGCGATACAGAGGGGAAATGCGCACTGCATCCAGGGTTCCTGCCCGCCATCTGAGGAGCTGGAGGAACTCGACAACCTATGATAACCATCTTTGTAACCTATATGTAACTCCTTTTTTGTAACAAAGTTCAAATAAAGCAAATATATATGTGTACATACAAAAGAATGGGGGTGGTAGGAGAAGATAATATTAGTGTTCAGTGAGAAACCACAAGGTCTCCTCTGAATACTTTTTATTTTCTTCTCCGAGGCTATGGGTCCCCACATTGGCACCAGAGGTGGTACCCTCACAAATTTATATATATATATATATATATATATATATATATATATATATATATATATATATATATATATATATATATATATATATTCCAGTTAGGTAGGTTATAGTCGAAAAAAACATTAATTCTTGAAAACTAGGCTTATTAGGCAAATGCATACTAGGCTGAGAAGTGCGTTCTGGCTACTAGGTACGATATATATATATATATATATATATATGCGAACAAGCCTGAATGGTCCCCAGGACAATATGCAACTGAAAACTCACACCCCAGAAGTGACTCGAACCCATACTCCCAGGAGCAACGCAACTGGTATGTACAAGACGCCTTAATCCACTTGACCATCACGACTGGACAAAATGAGGTGATAGCCGAGGCTATTTGAACCACCCCACCGCCGGCACTCGGATAGTAATCTTGGGCATAGCATTTTACCAAATCACCTCTTTCTTTGGGGCACACGTGAGGAACACAAATGCGAACAAGCCTGAATGGTCCCCAGGACAATATGCAACTGAAAACTCACACCCCAGAAGTGACTCGAACCCATACTCCCAGGAGCAACGCAACTGGTATGTACAGGGACGCCTTAATCCACTTGACCATCACGACCGGACATAAGGAAGTGATAGCCGAGGCTATTTGAGAATGAGGTGATTTGATGAGGTGATAGAATGAGGTGATTTGATAAAATGCTATGCCCAAGATTACCATCCGAGTGCTAGCGGGGAAGTGGTTCAAATAGCCTCGGCTATCACTTCCGTATGTCCGGTCGTGATGGTCAAGCGGATTAAGGCGTCCCTGTACATACCAGTTGCGTTGCTCCTGGGAGTATGGGTTCGAGTCACTTCTGGGGTGTGAGTTTTCAGTTGTATATAGTCCTGGGGACCATTCAGGCTTGTTTGCATATATATATATATATATATATATATATATATATATATATATATATATATATATATATATATATGTCGTACCTAGTAGCCAGAATGCACTTCTCGGCCTACTATGCAAGGCCCGATTTGCCTAATAAGCCAAGTTTTCCTGAATTAATATATTTTCTCTATTTTTTTCTTATGAAATGATAAAGCTACCCATTTCATTATGTATGATGTCAATTTTTTTTTATTGGAGTTACAATTAACGTAGATATATGACCGAACCTAACCAACCCTACCTAACCTAACCTAACCTATCTTTATAGGTTAGGTTAGGTTAGGTAGCCGAAAAAGTTAGGTTAGGCTAGGTTAGGTAGGTTAGGTAGTCGAAAAACAATTAATTCATGAAAACTTGGCTTATTCGGCAAATCGGGCCTTGCATAGTAGACTGAGAAGTGCGTTCTGGCTACTAGATACGACATATATATATATATATATATATATATATATATATATATATATATATATATATATATATATATATATATATATATATATATATATATATATATATATATGTATATATATATATATATATATATATATATATATATATATATATGTCGTACCTAGTAGCCAGAACTCACTTCTGAGCCTACTATGCAAGGCCCAATTTGCCTAATAAGCCAAGTTTTCATGAATTAATTGCTTTTCGACTACCTAACCTACCTAACCTAACCTAACCTAACTTTTTCGGCTACCTAACCTAACCTAACCTATAAAGATAGGTTAGGTAGGGTTGGTTAGGTTCGGTCATATATCTACGTTAATTTTAACTCCAATAAAAAAAATTGACCTCTTACATAATGAAATGGGTTGCTTTATCATTTCATAAGAAAAAATTTAGAGAAAATATATTAATTCATGAAAACTTGGCTTATTAGGCAAATCGCGCCTTGCATTGTAGGCTGAAAAGTGAGTTCTGGCTACTAGGTACGACATATATATATATATATATATATATATATATATATATATATATATATATATATATATATATATATATATATATATATATATATATATATATATATATATATATATATATATATATATATATATATATATAATGAGAGAGAGGAAGAGTTTTCAGGAGAAAGCGCCAAGCTATTACAACTATATAGCACTTGAAAGGGGTCAGGATATGGATTTGGGATGGGACTGAGGAAGAAATGGTGCCCAAGCACTTGGACGGTTTAGGATTGAACGTCGACCTACAGGAAGCGGATCGGTTTGCAGACAAAAGAGAGAGAGTAATAATTAATGAGTAATCAATAACTTCGAATTACACCTCACATGAAGATACCCGAATTCGTACATGAATATACAAACATGAATTCATACATGAACTCGTAAATGATATTCGTACATAAATATGCCTGAAACGCTGTACGTATTTGTGGCTTTAGGCAGAGTATATACTTGCTCTATCTGGAAATACAATATTCTGCTTGTAACCCATTTTGAATTGATGTACTTTTTCCTAAATAAACATTATCTTTATCTTTATCATTATCATATAACAATATGTCCCCTATATAAGGAAACAGAAATAATAATAGTATTAATGATCAAGGTAATAACCAATCATAATGATCAATGTCAGCATGATTAATTACCTCATCATTCAGCCACCACTCACATGCTGATCCTTTCACTGCGTCAGAGTTCATTTTCTAAAGTGTAATAAACTCATGGAATCACCTACCTACAGGAGCCGTAAATCAGGAATCCAGCTATAAATACAAATAGAGACAAAATATTTAGGAATAATTAGGGATCAACCGGCTTCTTGTTCCGCTCTTGGCCACTAGAGAGGATAATCTATATTTATAAAAAAATACTACTCTGGGCTAAATTTAACTTTTATTTCTGTTTTAGTGTAGTGTCAAGAGGGAGAGTAGCGTTTCTGACATTGTGGATGGAGCCAAAGAGAGCGTGTCCCAGTCTGGTGATAACGGCCCGGCACGCCGGCTCACCCTCTGTCTCCTTCAGTAGTAGGCTTGGGATCCTCCACCGCCAGGCCTGGTACTCCCTGCTACTGTTCCTTCGTGTCTCCATGTTGTCTCCAGGAAACACACTTCCCTCCGGAGCTGCGGTGTGTTCCTTCAGGAATTGCACAGTTTCTTTGCCAAGACTTTGATTACCATACAGAAACTTGTATAAGTTACTTACCGTGCTGAAAGGCTCAATAGACAGTTTCTCCAGACGTAACCTAGTCACTTGTGCTGGGTACTTTTTAAGTAAGATGTCATAGTGTCTCATATCATCTTCTAAGGCGCCGCATCTGAAGGAAGGTTTACTATTCCAGTTCAGTTTTTTTATTGACTTTAATGACCCTCTAGGATCACGAATTAGGTGGATAATTTTAATGTTGAGAGAAGGATCGTTTAAAAGACCTTCCAGCCATGACAATCGAGATCTGATTACCTTGACTACCCTGACTCTGGAGATTTTACACGTACTGCGCAGCTCCAACCCACGTTTACATCCACTGCCTCCTTCTTTATATATATATATATATATATATATATATATATATATATATATATATATATATATATATATATATATATATATATAACCAGATTCCAGTTAGGTAGGTTAGGTAGTCGAAAAAACATTAATTCTTGAAAACTAGGCTTATTAGGCAAATCGGGCCTTGCATACTAGGCTGAGAAGTGCGTTCTGGCTACTAGGTACGACATATATATATATATACATATATATATATATATATATATATATATATATATATATATATATATATATGCGAACAAGCCTGAATGGTCCCCAGGACAATATGCAACTGAAAACTCACACCCCAGAAGTGACTCGAACCCATACTCCCAGAAGCAACGCAACTGGTATGTACAAGACGCCTTAATCCACTTGACCATCACGACTGGACAAAATGAGGTGATAGCCGAGGCTATTTGAACCACCCCACCGCCGGCACTCGGATAGTAATCTTGGGCATAGCATTTTACCAAATCACCTCTTTCTTTGGGGCACACGTGAGGAACACAAATGCGAACAAGCCTGAATGGTCCCCAGGACAATATGCAACTGAAAACTCACACCCCAGAAGTGACTCGAACCCATACTCCCAGGAGCAACGCAACTGGTATGTACAGGGACGCCTTAATCCACTTGACCATCACGACCGGACATAAGGAAGTGATAGCCGAGGCTATTTGAGAATGAGGTGATTTGATGAGGTGATAGAATGAGGTGATTTGATAAAATGCTATGCCCAAGATTACCATCCGAGTGCTAGCGGGGAAGTGGTTCAAATAGCCTCGGCTATCACTTCCGTATGTCCGGTCGTGATGGTCAAGCGGATTAAGGCGTCCCTGTACATACCAGTTGCGTTGCTCCTGGGAGTATGGGTTCGAGTCACTTCTGGGGTGTGAGTTTTCAGTTGTATATAGTCCTGGGGACCATTCAGGCTTGTTTGCATATATATATATATATATATATATATATATATATATATATATATATATATATATATATATATATATATATATATATATATATATATATATATATATATATATGTCGTACCTAGTAGCCAGAATGCACTTCTCGGCCTACTATGCAAGGCCCGATTTGCCTAATAAGCCAAGTTTTCCTGAATTAATATATTTTCTCTATTTTTTTCTTATGAAATGATAAAGCTACCCATTTCATTATGTATGATGTCAATTTTTTTTTATTGGAGTTACAATTAACGTAGATATATGACCGAACCTAACCAACCCTACCTAACCTAACCTAACCTATCTTTATAGGTTAGGTTAGGTTAGGTAGCCGAAAAAGTTAGGTTAGGCTAGGTTAGGTAGGTTAGGTAGTCGAAAAACAATTAATTCATGAAAACTTGGCTTATTCGGCAAATCGGGCCTTGCATAGTAGACTGAGAAGTGCGTTCTGGCTACTAGATACGACATATATATATATATATATATATATATATATATATATATATATATATATATATATATATATATATATATATATATATATATATATATATATATATATATATATATATATATATATATATGTCGTACCTAGTAGCCAGAACTCACTTCTGAGCCTACTATGCAAGGCCCAATTTGCCTAATAAGCCAAGTTTTCATGAATTAATTGCTTTTCGACTACCTAACCTACCTAACCTAACCTAACCTAACTTTTTCGGCTACCTAACCTAACCTAACCTATAAAGATAGGTTAGGTAGGGTTGGTTAGGTTCGGTCATATATCTACGTTAATTTTAACTCCAATAAAAAAAAATTGACCTCTTACATAATGAAATGGGTTGCTTTATCATTTCATAAGAAAAATTTAGAGAAAATATATTAATTCATGAAAACTTGGCTTATTAGGCAAATCGCGCCTTGCATTGTAGGCTGAAAAGTGAGTTCTGGCTACTAGGTACGACATATATATATATATATATATATATATATATATATATATATATATATATATATATATATATATATATATATATATATATAATGAGAGAGAGGAAGAGTTTTCAGGAGAAAGCGCCAAGCTATTACAACTATATAGCACTTGAAAGGGGTCAGGATATGGATTTGGGATGGGACTGAGGAAGAAATGGTGCCCAAGCACTTGGACGGTTTAGGATTGAACGTCGACCTACAGGAAGCGGATCGGTTTGCAGACAAAAGAGAGAGAGTAATAATTAATGAGTAATCAATAACTTCGAATTACACCTCACATGAAGATACCCGAATTCGTACATGAATATACAAACATGAATTCATACATGAACTCGTAAATGATATTCGTACATAAATATGCCTGAAACGCTGTACGTATTTGTGGCTTTAGGCAGAGTATATACTTGCTCTATCTGGAAATACAATATTCTGCTTGTAACCCATTTTGAATTGATGTACTTTTTCCTAAATAAACATTATCTTTATCTTTATCATTATCATATAACAATATGTCCCCTATATAAGGAAACAGAAATAATAATAGTATTAATGATCAAGGTAATAACCAATCATAATGATCAATGTCAGCATGATTAATTACCTCATCATTCAGCCACCACTCACATGCTGATCCTTTCACTGCGTCAGAGTTCATTTTCTAAAGTGTAATAAACTCATGGAATCACCTACCTACAGGAGCCGTAAATCAGGAATCCAGCTATAAATACAAATAGAGACAAAATATTTAGGAATAATTAGGGATCAACCGGCTTCTTGTTCCGCTCTTGGCCACTAGAGAGGATAATCTATATTTATAAAAAAATACTACTCTGGGCTAAATTTAACTTTTATTTCTGTTTTAGTGTAGTGTCAAGAGGGAGAGTAGCGTTTCTGACATTGTGGATGGAGCCAAAGAGAGCGTGTCCCAGTCTGGTGATAACGGCCCGGCACGCCGGCTCACCCTCTGTCTCCTTCAGTAGTAGGCTTGGGATCCTCCACCGCCAGGCCTGGTACTCCCTGCTACTGTTCCTTCGTGTCTCCATGTTGTCTCCAGGAAACACACTTCCCTCCGGAGCTGCGGTGTGTTCCTTCAGGAATTGCACAGTTTCTTTGCCAAGACTTTGATTACCATACAGAAACTTGTATAAGTTACTTACCGTGCTGAAAGGCTCAATAGACAGTTTCTCCAGACGTAACCTAGTCACTTGTGCTGGGTACTTTTTAAGTAAGATGTCATAGTGTCTCATATCATCTTCTAAGGCGCCGCATCTGAAGGAAGGTTTACTATTCCAGTTCAGTTTTTTTATTGACTTTAATGACCCTCTAGGATCACGAATTAGGTGGATAATTTTAATGTTGAGAGAAGGATCGTTTAAAAGACCTTCCAGCCATGACAATCGAGATCTGATTACCTTGACTACCCTGACTCTGGAGATTTTACACGTACTGCGCAGCTCCAACCCACGTTTACATCCACTGCCTCCTTCTTTTGGTCTCCTGAAGCATCGTCGAGTGTTTGCATTAAAATACTGTAAGAAAAGGTCATTCCCTAGAAGCCAACGCTCAAATGTTTTATCGTAAGTACACTTAAATAGCCTTGTTAAAAAGCCTCCTACACAGGACCCATTTCGGGCACAGGGTGTCTTCTTCCGGCTTGACAGGGGCTCGAAGAAGAGAACAGATTCTGGGTGCGTGGCAAGAAGCTGGGCGACTAGTGTGGAGCCGCTGCGGGGCATGGAGCTCAAGAGCAGCACCTGCAGGACGCCCCCTTCACCCATTGCTTCAACACCTCCATTCTCTCTCTCGCCTTGCTGGAAATATTGCTGCTTCTGCTCGTTTACATCTTTATCTGTAAAAAAATTATGCATTAGGAAACGGAAAAATAATTTATAATTTAGTAAAATTTTCGTCATAGGCTTTTTATCGTAGCAGTCATTTTCGTCAAAGGCTTTTTATCGTAGAAGCTATTTTAACTGTGATCCTAAATAATGCAGTGTCTGATGTATATTAGTGGAATAAACAATAGAAGATGTTATCTTGTGTGCTGCAATAATTACAAATTTCCTAAATGTAAATCAGCAGCAGCATACATAATGACCAAACCTCACATCAGACAATCAAAAAACGACGACGTTTCCATCCGACCTGGGCCATTATCAAATTGTAATGATCTGGTGCTCTCCCCTTTCTTCCCTCTCCCTCCTTCTCCCCTTCCTCTTGTCCTTGTTCATTCACCCCCTCCCCCGTTGCCTCATTCCTTTTCCCTTCCCCTCCCCAGTTGTCAGTCCGAGCCTCTGGTCTCCCCCCCCCCCCCACCTTGTTGGCAGTTCCTGCCATATACTACTCGAGTCAAATTACCCCTTAGACAGGTGGTCAAGCCACTTGTCTTCTCCTGTTCCCCAATCCTATTTTCTCTAATCCCTCCAATCGGTTGTCTCCCAGTCTTTTCCAATCGTTCCCCTCTCCTGCCTTCGCCACTAACCATTTGACTACTTTCCCCCCAAACACACACCGAGACTACGACGTTGGTACAACGTTCGAACAAGATTTAACACCATCTAACCAGTTATAACAACCAATATAGCAAGTTGTAACAACGTTCTAATACGTCATAAACACGTTAAGCCAAGATGTAACAACTTTATTACAAGTTGTATCAAGCGGAAAATAGAGACAGTTTCGGTTTGTGTTTCCAGGGTTAGGACCAGTGCGAATTACCGTAGTTCTCAAGTTTCGAGTTTCGGCTGGGAGTCAAAACGGCTGTTGTTTCCTCTTTTTTTCAGGGACATTCCTGCGCGGGCCCTAAGCCTCTGGCTGGCCCACTAAGTGTTGCTTGTTTCTGGTTTTACTTGGGCGGAGTATGAGTATTTATTACTCGTATGGTCGCTTCAGTAAGATTTTGCCATATGTGCTTAACAACTTCTTCTGCTCTGTTGAATCAAAGTTGAAATCTTAATGGGTTTGTAACTCTGCACTGTGTTAGATAATGTTCCAGTGGTCTGTTCGGCATTTCTCCACAGTGTTGACATTTCTTCTCATCTTCCGGAACCTGTAAGCCAATTTCCCATGCACATGGGTATACAAGCCTGATGCGATGTAAGTGTACTTCTGTTGTTCTACTGCTCCCTTTCATCGAACTAAGTGGTTCGTAGTTGGTTGAATTCTTATACCAACCCGCAGATCCTAATGTTGCAACTGCTGTGTTGTGGTCACTGTACATCTTTTGAATTACTCTATTTCTAATTACTTTCTTAATCTGTGATAGACTCTGTGGTATGTAAATGTCTACATTTCTTCTCTTAGTTACAAGTTTTGCAGCTTCGTCTACAATGTCATTTCCTATTATTCCCACATGACTTGGCACCCAGTTGATAAGTAACCGACGGCCTTGTCGTTTGAGTGTTTGCATTAATGACATATGACATTCGTGATCAGATGGATGTTATCACATATGTGTTCTTGTTGTAAGGTTTCAATGGCGGTGTTATTTCCTGTTGTAGCGTGGGAATGGTTCATGATTCTACAGGAGTAAAACATAATTTTCAGGACAGGCTCATGTCACCAAGGAGGCCTAGGGGCGGGACTAAGTCAGAGTTTTGGCTGGCCTAAAAGTGACACTCTGTAGTCATTGGTTGAAGCCATGGAGGCCTGTGGAGGCGGAGTCCCCCAGGGTATTGCCTGTCCATATCATTGGCCTAGCTTCCAGAGCACCCAGTTGTGTTTAAATCCATTGGCCATAGGCTTGGATAGGCAGAGTTAATTGGACCTAGGAACTAGGTGGGTGGAGCCTGTTTCCTCCGGTAAGAATTTTAGAAAATATTAAAGTCAGTGTGTCTTGAGGCTTACTGGAGTACAGGTCTCTTGACTTGTGGGGGCAAGCCATTCAACATTTTGGCCGATTTTGCAGGATTAAGGTAATGTCTGTCTGAGTTTTGGTACGTCAAGTAAATCACACACCGTTCTCCAGTTGCCTTGTAGGATGTCTTGATAAGTAGGATATATATTTTCAATTTGTGTTCAATATACGTGACTTAAAATAATAAAGTGAATATTTTTATCTAGTGGTATTTAGTTAATTCCCTTTTTGGTTATTAAAGCTGCATTAATTCATTTTATATGGGATATTCTCATGTGGTACTGGAAGCCTTTGGTTCCTCGTTGAGTAAAGTAAAGATTGCAGTATTACTTATCAAGATTTATTTACCAAGATTCTATTGCCCTTGAGTTTCATGATTATTGATTCCCTTCCTTCCTGGGGAAGCAGTAATTTAGACACATTCAAATGGTTAGGGAGGTGGCGGCAGTTTTTAATGAGTTTTAATTATTAGTTTTAAAATAATAATTCCTATTCTTGTTGTTTCCTTTTCATTTAATAATTCAGCTGATATTCACGATAATTCAGTGAGGGGGTCATACTGAGCTGTAGCAGTGTTAAGCTGGGGGTGTTGAGTGGAGAGAAAGGGTTGAGCAGGTAGGGTTATTACAAAATGATGCTAATGGTAATTGTCCAGAAATGGTCCGAAACGTCTTAGATTCTTCATTTTCTGATGTGTTGTTCAGTCATCATATCTTCAGCCACGTTATTGAGACTTATCGTTTGCAGCAGCATACAGCATTTTTATTGTTAAGCCAACAAGCAACCTTCGATGTTCAAGTTAAAATGAAATGAAATATATCAGAGTAAATATTATAACAGAAGTTACTTGTTCTAGTTCTCCAGTAAGAAAATCACTATCACCTTGAATTTCAGTTAATGCCAAGTTATATTTAATTTTTTATGTTAACAAATGTTATTATCTCGTGACTTTATACAAAGTGTCGCACGAACCATGAAGAGAGAATGGCTGGCTATTCTAACAAACTAAACGACCAAACCACACATCAGAAGATGAAAAAACAACGACGTTTCGGTTCGTAATGGACCATTACGTCGTGTAGACGGAGTGTTTATCCATCTTCTGATGTGTTGTTTGGTCATCATATCTTCAGCCCCGTTACTGTGATTTGTCTGTAAACTATACGAGCCACCAAATGTGACCTATTGCTAATACCTTCCTCCTATTATCATAAATAGGTGGTGGAAAATGGCATTGGGTCGGTTACTTGTTACAATACCTATAATCATGTATCTCAAGAATAAATATCCAGATTTTTCAGGCTAGTCGGAAATTTTTTCTTCTTCAGTGCCTCCTATAAGACTCCTATCCCACGATCAAATTCTCTGGAACTGATTCATTTGAAAGATCAACTTATGTCTATTTTATCCTGTAATAGTATCCTGAATGGTATCTAGGAACTCGTGAATCTTGTGACTTGCCTAGTACCATAATGACACACTGACTTAACGCATAATAACCGATAATTACTTATTCTACAGAGCATATAATTTTTCACATTTTCCTCTTCCCTATGAAAGCAGATAAAGAGGACTAGGTCACTGGAACATCAGACAGTATTATTATTAATAATGAAGAAATTGGTTAATTATATTTTAAATATATTTCACGCTCAGTTTATATTGGATAAAACCTCTACATTTTGGCCACAGGTGATATTATTTTTTTGGAAGATATAAGCCAAAACAATAAAGAGTGAAAATTAAATATATTTATATAGACAAATAGAGATTGATTAATTACTGGCATCAAATTAACGTGAAGTTAGTCTAACATAATTTGTGGAAATATTATGAAATGGAAATTGGAATGAAGCCTAGCATGGTTTAGGCGCAGAAGTTATGTAAAACTTGTTTGCAGACTAAGAGTTCTCTCTCAATATTTTGTTTTTTCGATTTATCGATTTCATGACCAATGGGCTTGGTAAGGAAGGGGGAGGAAGAAGGATGAGGATTTGAAATTCTGGAAATATAGAATGAGGATGGAGAACAAGGAGGATAAAAAGTTCGGCGGCCTGTCCACCTTGGACTGGAACTCTTTGATTGACTCTGATGTCGATGGAAAAATAGCGTCCATGGTTGTGGAGAGGACACCTGGGGGATGGTGGTGAGGCAGTCTTACTATTTTCGTTCGAGCGTTGGGCTTGTGTTTCCGAGTATTAACTAACCTGACTAACAATACCTGTATACAGAACAAGATACCTATGGAGCAAGCGAGAAGTTGGTGTAGCTGAAGGAAAGTCCTGGAGATGAAGCTTCGAAGCTGGAGAAGAAACTGCCAGAGTTTTACCCAGCTGATGAATCAAGTACTTGTGGTGAACGATGCCACGACTAGCTAGACGACGAGGCATGGTCCTGTAATGGGCGCTGTGGTGCCGAATTCCTTCTTCTTTTCTTGGGTCTTCAGTCGTCATTCTGGAAATGGTGTCATCACAGTCGTCATATATTGCATGAGATGGAACGAACATTTTTTTGGACAAGAGTTGGATTTTTGGCAAGCTCTCGTTTGTATCCTACGTTGTAGATGATATGGAAGATTTGTCTGTTTCCTGGTGTGCCAGGAATTCCACTGCCCCGTTGTTGTTCGAGGTCTTCCAGTCCTTCATTGGAGATGTCGAGAGTGTCTTCAATTTGAAGTTCTTCCTTAAAATGAAGTGGAAAGATCAGCGATATCAGAGATTGGTGCAGTTGCAGATGCTTGAGGTTTTTTGAAAGTGGTGCAAGATCATTGACAGGAGCCGCAGTCTTAGTAGACTGTGTTACAACAACAGTTGCTGCAGGAGCCTTTGGTGGAGTAACAGTGGATGCAGGAGCATTTGGGAGAGTAATAGCAGTGGGCTGGGCGGGTGTAGAAACATGAGCAGTAAGGAGGGTATCCGGAACAATAATGGTTGGCAGACCATTTGCAGCAAAAAGCGTGTTGATTGTAGAAACGAACAATCAATTGTCGTTTATTGCCACCTCCATTATACTCCACCTCCCCAGGTCATTTGGTCTGTTAGGTGAAGTTGTGCTTGAACTATACTGATGTTGCTGATTGGTGTTGGCTGTGGCTGGGCTGATGACTGGGAGTTGATACCCCAATGAGAAGGATGGGAGGTGGTGCCACTGGTTAGCAAGGAAGAAAATGCTTCCGAGTGGTTGTTGAAAGTAGCTGTTGCCGGGCGGGTGACGATGGTAATAGCGGCGATGGTGGTGCTGGAGGCTTGCCTAGCTTCAGTCATCGAGAATCGAGAAAAAATCTAACATTTTCTTGTTAATAAAATATTTTTGTGATAAAACTAAATATTAAAATGCTTTATTATAAGCTATTGTGACAGCTTAGAGTCATAGACATGATTTCAGTTGACACAGTTGACTTGTGTTTGATGTTAATTTTTTACCATTTTGGAAAATTTTTGACACATTATTCAATACTTTTTCTCTTCCTTTTTACGCAGTGATGCTGAGACTTGGACCAGTTGAACCTAATTTCATATAAAACTCGTCAAAAAAGTTTGATTGAAATCGAACCAGTTTTCAATTATTGCATATATAGGCATTATGCCCCCTTCACTGGTGTACTGAAGTTCAGCTCCCACTCAGGACACACAGATAGATAGATATTATTATATCTATAGAGAACAGACAAAGATGATCATCAGACAGAAAGCGAGCAGGGAGGCCGTACAGAGAGTGAGGGAGCGTTCTTCCATCGGTGCTGCGGTCCATTAAGAAGGGTAAAAGCCGAAGTGTTCTGGCTTTAGCCCTCACTTACGGTACACGTAAACAGGCGCCCTGAATTACAAGATTAAGGTGCGGTTCAGAGGAACCCGCACCTTCACCAGGACGGAAATACTTAAAATTCTGGGGGATCTCCACTCACGTTGCACCCATTGACATCGAAGAAGACGATAATGGCGCCCAACTACTATTCTCTAGTGAGTTAGTTTCGTTCAGTTATTATGCACCCCATACCCATCTTGTGGGCGGTAGTGGAAAGGGTTACAAAGGCACATAATGGGTTCAGGGACTAAACCCCACAATTCATTTAGCTAAGCAAGTTACAATCTTGATGAGCTAGTTACAAAATTCAGTATAAGTAGTCACATCATAAATGGGTTCGAGATCGACCACAAGTACAGCTTCTAAATTAAGCAACTGACATATGTGGAGAGCTAGAGTCACAATTGATATGTTTGTCCTGCATACCGCCCCAATCCAGAGGAAGTTCTTCAGAAGTTGTTCAGTCCTGACACCCTGACCGCCCTAAGTGAAGCCAACTTAGTATTACTTCCACCTTGACCATACCTGGCAGAGAGGGCAGTCTTCGTTTGGCCCATTAACACCCGGATTTCCGACCACTCTATCGACATCATCGATAGCATCAACACCTTGCACTAACTACAGTTTCAGTACAAATCATTAAAATGATCGCCAACCAGCGATCGACAATGAAACTAACCTTCAACTCTACTGATGAAGTAGAGTCTAAGGCACCCAAGGTCTAACCTTCAAAGAACTTAAAACTGAACCAAGGAATTATAGTTACACCAGATAATAGAAGGATCTCCAACATCGTCCACAGCGAGGAGAACAAACAAGCACGGCCAGAAGACCCAACTGGTGAGAAGTGAATGGTTCGATTATATCCGAGATACGGCGATGTTAACCTTCTTCACCCGGACATTATTGACACAAATTACTTCCAACTTGATGATGATGACACTGATGACGCTTTCAACAACAGCACGACGAGAAGTCAGGCCCGAAAAAGTAACTGCAAGAATTGAAGACATTTAAAGAGGAAGGAAGATTCAAACACGAATGAAGAAAGAAGTCTACGGAGCGAAGTAAGAACTTACTCCGCCCCTCCACGCTACCAGAAGACTGCACGCCCGTGTTCCTAGGGTGTCCCAACGTCCAGAAACTGTCGTCCTAAAGTCCTAAAAGACCCAAAACAGAAAACAGGACAAAATGTCAGCTTTGCAAGCAGCTGCTATTTTCTAGTACGACAATTTTTGGCCGTAGGAAGAGTTCACTTCAAAATACGACGTTTTATTAGGAGGACAGGTTGGACTCCAACCTGACCGAAATCGCTGGCGAGGCTTGAAGCGAGCGAGCCACCACTGCGCCACAAGTCCTTGTAAGCAAAACTGTACTTACTGCCCTTGCATTAAGCAGTACAGTTTACGTCACCGGACTATAGAACAAACCATTTTTTTTTTCAAATTATTAAAGGAAAGAAAAATAAGTTTTCTTATGAAGAACAAGTCAGAAAAGTCAGTTTACTTTCTGCGTAAACCCATCAGGGTAAACATGACTGATAATTCACTAATGAATGAAAGGAGTTACCTCGCAGGATTACGTTGGCTGCTACAACTATCAACGCAAGATAACAAATCAAACACATTAGACACGTTTAGATTTAGACACGAAATAGATCAACTCAGCTTGGGGAACTACAGACTGATGACGTCTGGGAGAAGATGCCAACATACTCACAATGACGTCCAGAGCATTACTTGGGCAAACATAACAGTGAGCTGCTGGTTGTCTTCATTTGCCACTCCGTCAAAAATCCAACCTGTTAACCTATCCAGAAACGTATGAACCCAACCAACCCCCCTATCCTATCGAGTCCCATGCATAGACACATAGATATTTGTGAGGTATTACTTTTCATAATAGGATGCATTTGTAACGTTGGTCGCCATAACGTAAGAAACGCGACCTATTAGCTCGGAGGACGTGAGAGTGGCTGTAAATTAATAAGAACATTTCAGTATTAACAAGACTTACCCCAAATACATATTAATATGCTCTCATACACAAAAATTAGCGGTAAATGCCAAAACTGTTAAGTTTTAAATCTACCTGGAAAAGACCACTATGACAAATGGGGGGGGGGAACCTTCGTCAAGCCGCCGGCCTCCTGTCCACGTCGAGGCCACTAGAGTTAGTGGCCCTCAGGTAAATCACGTAAATCAGGTAAACGTTGCAGTGCAAGATGTTCATTACTTTCACTATAATTAGTGCATAAGTTGTGCAGATTAATGGGAATTGATGATGTAAAATATCCGCTGAGGATGAGTATGGGGTGAACAATAAACTACCACACACAAGATGAGTATGGGGTGAACAATAAACTACTACTCACAGGATGAGTATGGGGTGAACAATAAACTACTACTCACAGGATGAGTATGGGGTGAACAATAAACTACTACTCACAGGATGAGTATGGGGTGAACAATAAACTACTACTCACAGGATGAGTATTGGGTGAACAATAAACTACCATACACAAGATGAGTATGGGGTGCACAATATACTACCGCTCACAGGATGAGTATAAGTTACACAAACTACCACTCACAGGATGAGTATGGGGTGCATAATAAACTACCACACACACATAGGATGATTATGGGGTGCACAATAAACTACCGCTCACAGGATGAGTATGGGGTGCACAATAAACTGCCACACACAGGATGAGTATGGGGTGCACAATTAACTACCAAACACAGGATGAGTATGGGGTGCACAATAAACTACCACACATAGGATGAGTATGGGGTGCACAATAAACTACCACACACAGTATGAGTATGGGGTGCACAATAAACTACCACACATAGGATGAGTATGGGGTGCACAATAAACTACCACTCACAGGATAAGTATGGGGTGCACAATAAACTACCGCTCACAGGGTGAGTATGAGTTACACAATAAACTACCGCTCACAGGATGAGTATGAGTTACACAGTAAACTACCATACACAGGATGAGTATGGGGTGCACAATAAACTACCACACACACAGGATGAGTATGGGGTGCACAATAAACTACCACACACACAGGATGAGTATGGGGTGGACAATAAACTACCACACACACAGGATGAGTATGGGGTGCACAATAAACTACCACACACAGTATGAGTATGGGGTGCACAATAAACTACCACACACAGGATGAGTATGGGGTGCACAATAAACTGCCACACACACAGGATGAGTATGGGGTGCACAATAAACTACCGCTCACAGGATGAGTATGGGGTGCACAATAAACTACCACACACAGTATGAGTATGGGGTGCACAATAAACTACCACACACAGGATGAGTATGGGGTGCACAATAAACTACCACACACAGGATGAGTATGGGGTGCACAATAAACTACCACACACAGGATGAGTATGGGGTGCACAATAAACTACCACACACAGGATGAGTATGGGGTGCACAATAAACTACCACACACACAGTGTGAGTATAGGGTGCACAATAAACTACCACACACAGTATGAGTATGGGGTGCACAATAAACTACCACACACACAGTGTGAGTATAGGGTGCACAATAAACTACCACACACAGTATGAGTATGGGGTGCACAATAAACTACCACACATAGTA